TCTATATCTATATCTATATCTATATCTATATCTATATCTATATCTATGTCTATGTCTATGTCTATGTCTATATCTATATCTATGGCAACCCTGTGTGTTTCAAGTAGTGTAAAGTGTGTCTTCACAAGAACTTTAAAATTTCAACTAAACAAAATGCTTAAAGAGTGTTTCAGTGTTGGAGGCGATAGTTCATCCACCTGCATCGGAGGAAATTGAAGTTCACCGAAATATTTCACAATTAAAAATAAAAATACTAAAGGTGAGACTGAAATCATTTTAGCCAAAAAACGCTTTGCATGCCGTAGATGCTGCGGAGCCAGCTGATGCATGAGTTGTCAACTCATTGCTGTGTGGAACTAAGCTTATTGAGCACAGACACGAACCGGTGTGAGCTTATTAGTGCCGACACAACCCGTTATAACGGATTCCACAGCTACAATAGTAAATACAATCACCAGGATATCCGACGAAATAAATCGACTCCTCAAAGATTCCGCAAACATGAAAAGAGAGATAAAAGTAGGGATCATCGAGCAGGCCTCTAAATTAACAGCTCTTATACCAGCAATTGAATCACTGCTTTCGAGTGCAAACTCAGGTAGCACTTCCGTTGACATTCGCGCAACAATTCGAGACGAGCTTTTATTATTTAAAGAATCATTGGATATTCAAAAGCCATCAACAAGTGTAACCTATGCAAACGTAGCCAAGGCCGGTGCTGTACAATATAAACCAGCACTCGTAATCAGCTCAGCTCAAGGAAATCAATGCAAGCACTCTTATTTGCTGAAAACTTTTCGCACAAACGTCTCGTTCAAAGATACAAATATCGCTGCAGCAAAGGTTACTCCAGTTTCAAACAACAAAGTTCGCATCGAATTTGACAGCTTAGAGCAACGTGATGTCACCATGAGTAAAATATCTAATGTCACGGCCAGTGTTGCCTCCGCTCAAAGAACTTTCTAACCAAGATTAGACGAAAAAGTTACCAAATGTAAGGAAAAATAACCAACTTTTTTATTGGATTAATTCAGGTCATCACAAATTCTTTTTTATAATACGTATAGAAAAAGTTTACAAACCAAAGAAAATCAATTTTTATTTGCATTTTTAAAAGTAAATTATTTTAAGGCTGTAATATGTAAATACATATTTTATAAAATCAGTTTTCCCTTATTAGATGCATATGTATGAATGTTAATATCTTCGTAAACATTACTAGACTCTAAATTACGTTTTTAAATAAGTACATAATGAAATTTCTCGCATACGCCAAACGTAGTACCGCGTATACGATGGTAAATAAATTTTACAAAAGCGCAAAAAAAAGAAAAACCAAAAAGAAGAAAAAAGGGAAAAAAAAGAATAACCAAATCCCTTTTTTATTGTACATACATGACGTGGTATTGGATTCCGTATATAAGAGGTATTTATATATGTACTAAGTATGTATTCATTTGAAGAAGGATTTAGCCGACCATGCATATTATGTATTCTGTATATTATAAAACAAATAGAATCTCATACAGGCTTTGCGGAGTGGAGGGACAACATCGAAGCAATTCAGAACTCTGACCACAATGCCATAACTTTCAAATTGGAGAAACACGATAAAATCACAGCATCTAAGCAGACTTCTCCCTATTTGTTCAATAATAAAACAGCAAAATGACCCGAATTTCATGCCTGTCTTCAAAACAGTATTCAGAAGTTGAAAATACTTAGCACAAATTTTCAAAATTATACCTCAATCGAAATCGATAATGTAGTTAAAAGCCTTACTGACAGCATACGATTTTCATTTAGCGAATCTATGAAAATGAGAAAAGATGTCAAATCGTTTAATCCCTGGTGGAATCAAAAGTTGCAAGTTCTCAAAGAAAATTGTATTAAACTCCACCACAAACTCAACTGGTTAAGCAAGAACCACAAACCCGTCAATGCAGCTGCAGTGTTACATGCAGAAGCCAAACGTCAATACGCCAAAGCATTAAGGGAAGCATCTGTAAACAATTTTCGGGAATTCTGCACCAACCAGGGCAAAGAAGATGTATGGTCCATTACAAATCGTATCATAAAGGATGCGCAACTGCAACGGCCGCCGACAACTCTACATGAAGATGGTAGATTCACTGAAACAAGCTTTGAAATGGCAGAAGCGTTAAAACGGCACTTCTATCCTGACGACAACCGGACGTCAGTGTAAAGCAGCGTCCTATTCGAAGTCAGGTAAAAGCTTTCATAAGTACACCAAATGACCAAGATTTTACGGAAGACGAAGTCATGGAAGCATTAAGCTCAATAAATCCAAATAAAGCTCCGGGACTATATAACCTCACATCTGATATATGTATTGAGGTATTTCAACACTCTCGATATATTACTATAGGATATTTACCCAAGGCATGGAAAGAGGCTTACGTAAAAATTCTGCCAAAACCGAAAAAAGAAGCTGGTGACCTATCATCTTATCGACCAATAGGTCTAATACCCGTCTTTGGAAAACTCTTGGAAAAGCGGTTTATTGGGCGCCTATCGTATCACGCTGAGCGCAACCATTTATGGTTATCTAAGCAATATGGTTTTAAGCAGCACACGTCAACCACTGATGCACTTTACAATGCTATCCAAAATATCAAAGATAAAAAACGTAAGTAATATCAGGTAGTCTGCGTATCTCTAGACATAAAAGCCGCCTTCGACAGCGCCTGGTGTCCAATGCTGCTAACTCAGCTTGCGCGTTACCAAATGCCCTAAAATATCTACAACCTCATACGAAGCTACCTCCAAGATCACATGGTTAAACTAGAATATGCAGACGCTAAAGCAAAAAAGAGTATGTCGAAGGGCTATATCCAAGGGTCTATATGTGGTCCCATTTTCTGGAACATAACTCTGGATGATTTACTGTCTATGTCACTTCCGCATGGATGTGAAATTCAAGCATTTACCGACGACGTATTACTAACCGTCAGCGCAAAAACACTTGCAGAGCTTGAGTGCATGACAAATGCCTGTTTGAGTCAAATACATCAGTGGGGTTTTGATGCTAAGCTAACATTCGGGGAAGCTAAAACCCAAGCAATTGCATTCACACAAAAAGCTAGATCAGCGAGCTTGTGTATGAATGGTATTGCTATACCTTTTCTAAAATCCATCAAACTTCTAGGAGTAACAAAAGATGAATATCTAATGTTTACAAACCATGTGCGGTATGCCATCGCTAAGACGGACCGTATATTCAAGAATCTGTGGAAATACGTTCGACCCACTTGGGGAATCCACGCTGAAAAAGTGGTAGTCATATATCGACAAGTACTGGAGCCGATGATTACATATGCCGCCGGTGTCTGGGGTAGTGCCACAAATTACTACTACATTCGTCGACTTCTTCGACCATTCCAAAGGAGCCAGTATAAAAATATTTACACGTTATATAACGTTTTTAATTCCAATTTTTCTTTTTCTAATCGAACGCTAAGTATTTCCATTTCTATGGCCGGACGTTCCTTATGTTGGAGAACCTCTGGCATCGCTAACAATACGGCAGCACTATTCAGTGCCGTCGTAATGTCGGTAGCCCTGATGGAACATATGTTCCACAGGTACATAACCCGAGTGAAAAAACGAATGAAAATTCAATTATACATACGCCTTCAAACCCTGAGGTAGTCCACTAATTCTGTGTAGCGAATAATATATTAAAAATATTAATTTCATCAACAAGTCAGTTTTTAATTTGTTTAAAACCGCAAGTAGTATACCGCGTGTGATTAGTCGCAGTCAGTTTTGGAAACAAAACAACGTTTCGGCGACTTTAAGAGTTTTTCCAGCGGCGGAGTAAGGACCCGGCAGGAACCGCTAATACAGCAGCCCATTTGCCACGAGGTCATTTTTGTAACACCAACCATATCAGCGGAGTGTTTCTCCAAAGGAGTTTACGCAAGGAAGAGTCAGGGTAAGCGAGTGCTACTTTTTTTGATACGAGCATGTGTGTCACCCAAATGAGCGGGCTGGGGCCCAACATGGCGACCGTGACGGTGAGCGTGACCATGGGGAAATCAATTTTTTGACACCCTGGACGGCAGGCGTGTCCAATGTGCTTCTGTTGCGACACAGTGGTGGTGGTGGCGAGCAGAATTTCATTGCGGTAGGCAATAACGGGGTGCAGTTCAATGTCACCCGTATAGCGCCGCACAAAAACCCGCGCTGCATTTTTGTCCCGTGTATCTTCTCGCATAACGGGGAGCCGTGCCACCACCTACACCAGCAGTACCTCATAAACCGCATAACGCCATTCAAAACGGCACTTAAAACGGCACTTAAAACGGCACGGTGTCCGTTCATCAACTGTACTGGGTACAACAGGAAGTACTGCTGCCAACAACAGCAAATACATATTTGCATATCGGCATCTAACGCCATTTAGTGAGCATCCGTTATACATACATACATATGCGTACAACCCAAGCCACCTAAGTAACAGTTAAGAAACCACACCACCAAAGTACAGTCGTGCAAGTCCATCAAGCACACGAATAAACTCGCTATAGCCAATTCACAACAACACCGAAACTATTACAAAGTAGCAGAACAACAGCAAGTATTGCGAAAACAGCAGCAAGCATTTTCAAGGCGATGAGACGGCAGCGAGGGATCATAGCAGCGGGTGGTTTGATTAGATTTTAAAATTTAAATATGTATGTACTCATGTATATTCCTCATAAAACGTTTTTGTAAGACCTACCATTTTCTTTTTTGCGACTATGGCACATTAGACCGACACACACACGTGTTGAAAATTTCGATTTCTTAACATAGATATTTTTTTTTCAAATTCATTTGCCAATACTTAGCTTTAAGTGATTCAAGGCTTTAAAGCCACTTTTCAAATTCATTTTCAGTATTTAGTTTTAAGTGATTTGAGGTATTAAACCTATTTTTCAACTTTATTCTCATTTTTTTTTTAGCTTTAAGTGATTCAAGGCATTAAAGCCATTTTTCCAACTCCATTTTCATTATTTAACTTTAAGCGAACTAAGGCATTAAAGCATAATTCAATAATAGAAAGGTTTTGTAATAAAACAGTCTTCTCGCTCCCACATATAAAATCGGCTCCTTTGCTTGCAGAATGTTGCTTACTCCATAGTTTATAGTGATATTAGAAGTAAAACCAAAAATTCTTCATACTAAATATTCGTTGGCGTCACTTTCGTTTGCGTAATTTTCTAGAACAAGAGTAGAATAGCGACCGTTTAGCTATAAAATAACCGAAAATGCCGATTGATAGAACTTTTTACGCTGATTTCAACGATACCAAATTTATTTATTATTTGGCGCAGGTAAAAAATAAAGAAGATATAAGAGGTTTATTTGTATATTTTATTATCACTAAATTGTTGAAACCCAAAAGTAGATCATGATAAAATATGTAATATCGAATTAAAGATAATAACTTGTACTTTCTAAATAATATAAATTTCTTTACCATTAATTATGCAGGTTTTTCAAAAAAGGTTATTTCATGAAAAAATAACATTTTTTTTCGTTTTTTAGTGGTTTTGGTTTGAAAATATAAAAAGTTGTAAACTATGTACATCAGATGAAGGACAAATTAATTACCTTTATGGTGACGTCATTAGTTTTTTAATCGGTTATAAAGTTCATAAGATATTAATAGTCATCGATTCGCCACTTCGCTGCTGGCTATGTTTGAGTTCCGGTCGCTTAACGAAAAATTTTGCATGTGAAAGCAACAACAAAGTTAGCTAGCACGGATAGACGATAGCGAGTGTGGTTGTACCTCATTGAGTTCGTTCGTTTCGCCACTCGCTAACTGTTGGCGAATCGATGACGGCTAATATTTAAAATATCTAAAAACTGAACTTTAACCTTCTATAACCTCTTCATTTTTTACTTGCGCCAAATCATTTTGGCATGGTTAAAATGAGCATAAAAAGTTTTATTGATCTGCATTTTTCGTTTTTGCATAGCTGAACGGTCGGTATTCAAGATTTGTTCCCGGAAATGACGAATAACTTAAATCAAAAATGCATATTTTTATGTATTGCTTAATATTTCCATTAAAACACCAAATATATTGCAAATTCGCATAGAATTAATAATGCACATTTTACTTCTAATTGTATACTTTGCGTACTTTTTGTAGTACCATTCTACTACCGTTTTCGCAAAATGCGATCACATTCTTCCCCTTTCTCCTACTTCCAAAATACAAATCTAGATAAAGGAGTGTCAAATTTTAGCTGTCACAAATTACACAACCTTGTATTATTGAATCATGGCATTAAAGCCATATTTTTTCAAATTCAATATTTAACTTTAAGTGATTCAAGGCATTAAAGCCATTTTTCAAATTCATTTTTCATTATTTAGCTATAAGTGATTCAGAGGATTAAACCCAGTAGTCAACTTCATCTTCATTATTTATACTTAAGTGAGGTAAATCCTTTAAACCCTTTTTCAAATTAATTTTCATTATCCAATAATTTTAATAAATATTTCAAGATGTGACTGATCCATTTATACATATTCATAATGCCAACTTGAATTAAATGAAGTGATATACCCAGTGGCACATTTTTCTTTTTTCATAAAATTTTCAATTTCCAAGTTTCAAAAATTTTTATAACTAAAATGATTAATGTATCCACCTAGGTATAAGTGACTTAACCCTTTCGGTACATCTTTTTAGATTCGGGCTTTAAAAATCTAATTTTTTTATTAAATGATCCTTAATACATAATATAATAACATTCAATTTAATTTTTTTCCAAAATGCGATTCTAAAGTGTTTTTTGGAATGATGCCATATGGCATCATTTGTACTAACTGGTGTAAAAAATATGCAAAGAATTATTAATATGGTATTTTATTTTATTCAAATCAAATTAAATAACACCACAAAAATTTAATAAAATATGTTGGTACATCCATAGATTTAATAATTCATTTAAAAAATTTACCAGTTGCAATTTCTCTGTACAAATATATCGTTATTTGCTGGTGCGGATTTCAGCTCCTTCAAATATTATTGATGCCATATGGCATCATACACATTTAAAAATATACCACGCGTTTATTAGCACTTTTTTAAATTAAATTACAAGCTCTAGCAATATTTGACACTATTTTGGAGACTATAGCATATTTATTTGTTTTTAATTTATTGGGTTATTTGGTAAAATATAGTATTTTAATGTAGACCTTTCTAAGCAGAAGAAAGTCGATATTTTAGTAAAGTTTTAAAATTGAAATTTTTCATCTACTAAGGATAAAAATAACAATTCCTTATTAAAATATAGTTTATAAAACTTCCCATTACAGCGTTGCATATAAAAATATAATTTCAGATAAGCTCAATTAAATCTGTGAGTATTCAAAAAAGCATGACGCCATATGGCATCAAAATAGCGAAAGGGTTAACCCGGTTTTTGCTAAATTTTTATCGATCCTATTTTCCCATGCTTTTTATTCAAAATACCAAAATTTAATTCAACATAACTACTTTTCAGGGTGGGTGTTCCCCACGTTGGGCTTTCACTTTTTAGGAACAATCCTTGGCCCGCTCGGAAGAAAGCAAATTCACATTTTTTATTGAAAATAATGTTTATTCAGCATTTTTTTTTTATTGTTGATTGCCTTTGTTTGGGTTGCAAATGTCAAATAAATCAAAGGGAACAAAAATATACCACAAAAGGGAAATTTACAAAGCTTTCATGCGATGGGGCTGCCAGACTTCGAGTTGGGGTGTGGTGAATAATGGAATTCGCCGGGAAAGGGATAGACGTAGGGTGTGCACACTTGTGATTGGCCAAATAGAACAATGAAAACTATGCGAAAAAAACGGTGTTTTGAAAAACACTAGGTGGAAAAAAACAGCCTATAAAAAGGGGGTAACTGTAGGACATAGCATAGATCTGCCTCGTGTTCAACAAGAACCGCATCCACAGTGCGCGAATAATACTCGTTCTTTTTTTTTAAGTTTGGTCTTTACAACCGAAAAAAATTGTAAGAAACGTGCGTTCTTTTTGAGAAAAAATAAATAAAATAAGTGCCGTGTTTTTCTTTTAAATCCGGGATCGCAAGTTTGGGGGGAGAACGACCCCGATTACACGCGCAAATATCCCGCGGAGACACACCCGTCCACGGCAGGAACTGCACGTAGAAGAGGCTACTCGTTGGAAGGAAGACCACGAGTTGGAGGACAGGCCACGAGCTGAATTCATATAGCGCCCACTCCCTAGGAGCATCAAGTAAGCAGCGAGTCCCCCGGCGAGATGTAAGTAGCTGTGGAAAATAGTTTATAGTGGAGTAGTTTTTTGAGTTTTTTTTTTTGGGTTTTTGTCCTTGTGTGCCATTATATCCAAAACCAACGATCGCACGTGGATGCAGAGGGGCGCGGCACAACTCACTGGTGAGTGGTAGAACTGTAAGACAGTTTTTTTTTTATATATATACGTATGTGTATATTGCCATATCCGTGGAATACCCCTTTGGAAAGCTCACACCAATAGCGCAGGAAATTTATTTGGTATCACCCACTGACTGGTCAGCAGGGACTGCAACCAGGCTGTTAACTTAACAGCGCACTCAGAGCAGCGAATCCAACAGTCAGGAAAGAGGAAGTCCGAGCGGTGTAATATACGTATATAGGGTAGATTTAGAGGCTCTGTTTGGTTCAACTTTTTGTGTTTATTCCATTAAATTTTGGTGTAATTCATCTTGTTCGGCCACACCCAATAAGAGAAAGAAACGCCAAACCGACTAGTCTGCTAAAGAGTACATGGTTTAGGCTGGGAAAATCCGGTCCGGAAGATCTCGCATATCCTCTTAAGAGAGCCCTTTTAGGTAGGTGGTTAGGGCTTCCAGTGTTTTTAAAAGCGTTGTGTAAATTTCCGAGTTGATGTTTGGTTTCTTTTTTTTTTGGCGAGCTTATATACGTACATGCATACATACTAATCTTGGCGTACACATGTACATATATGCGAATTTTATGAAATGTATAATGTCTTTTTGTTAATAAATTTTTTATTGTACCATATTTTAAACGAAGAAAGCAGTCTAAAATGATTGGTTAAATGTTGATAGAAGGGAGGGGGAAGATCACGAGGGGTATTAGATAAGAGACCAGAGGAGTAAGTTAAAAAAGGGGAACCGCAGTAAATCGCCAACCGGAAGAGCCGTCCAAGGTTGGCTGGGCTTCCTGTGAGACGAAAGATGCCGAGGATGATTGTAATATCCTCCCTGCTTCAATGTGGCCAAGGGTTGGGAACCACGCCACACACAAATGCTGAGCTAGTACGGGTCACCACATTGATAGCAAAAAAAAAAAAACGACAGGAGGGCGGATAAACAGGTACGTGTACGTTAGAATAATTAATATGGCGCCCAAACTAAAACGAGAGGGTTGACAGCAGCGCCGCAGGTTGGAATTGGCGCCCGCGAATGAGCCAAAAGTAGCGTTTTGGGGAAGACCAGGACAAAGAGAAATAGGAATCGGTGAGAAAAACAGACATAGTTCATTTGTTATAAAAGAATTTCAATCTAAAAATAAGTCTAATTAGTATACATACAATTCGATCATCTAACCAAACGGTCCTGGCTAGATGTGACCTTTTTCTGAACCAGGTGACTTGTTTAAGTGAAGTCCACTAAAATTTAATGGCACCGGTATATGAAAGGGGAGCACTTCGTCAGTCCCTGACAATAACCCACCGATGGCATATTCGGACAGAAGTAGTCCCGGCTATAAACATCGTCATAAAACAAAGCCTTTTTCAAGTCATTAAAGTCAATAATCGAAGTTGAGTTAGAAAATTGATTCAGTTGGTTTATTTATTTGATTTTTTTTCAAGTCTTTATTGCTTAAAGCAGTAAGTCGCTTGGAACGGAAAGAAACGTGTGACCGCAAGTGTACTATGAATTGTGTAGCACAACGTCTTCCAGAAAGATAATTTTTAAAACAATTCAGTTACAGAAAGCGCATATGCTCTCACAGTTAGGATACGGTTTTGCTCCGATCAGGTCTCAAAAAAAAAAAATAATAATAATTATCTATTAAAAAACCCGAAGTCATCTGAACCCCCCGCACGTAAATCAGAGGGTTAAAGAAACAATCGAATAAATTAAAAGCTATTGGTGAGCAATAATAGGCAGGTGGTAGGTGTGTCAATCCCATATAAAACGCGATCTAAAAGCCGGACCCTAAAGCGCCATGCGCAAAAGACCCAGCTGTTATAGATCTATCGGATCGAATTGGGGGTGGTAACGTTGGGGCTACTGCTGTAGATCCTAGGCAGTGAGACTCTAATAACATACCGGGAAATCCGATTCGAAATACAGGGGCTGTCCCAAAACAACAAAACGAATCCCAAGAAACGCACCCTGTGGGAGTACCTGCACCCATCTTGACTTTTCCCCTGCCTCCTCCAACTAACCATAGCGAATCTAACCGGATGTCCATAAACACCTCGAACAATGCTCGAGACATTCGCACTGAGTTAGCGCCGGTCTTAAAAGAGATGATGGCTGAAGTAAAACATACTCTGTTAAAAGAAATGCGCGAGAGTATGCCGGGTTGACAGGATATTCAGGTGGCGGTAATAGGTCGCGGAATCGAAAGAAAAGGAGAAGACACAACTCCAGTATTGATTAGTTTGAGTCCAGACGCTCAGGGGAACTACCTATAAATACGAATTTTAATCAGAATAACACTAACCGAAATAATTACGCTCCAATGTCTCAGTCAAATGCGCATGCTTTCGCTGTCGATGAGCCACCGCCACACGCCAACCGCCAATAGCAGGTGTAGGGATACCAGCAGCTCGCCCCGAAGTCGATCGTCCGCCATCTGGAAAAGAAAATAACAAAGAATTTAGCCGACCAGAGATTAACATAGAAAAGTGGGGAATAATTATCAAGGGCATCGCGATTCGATATCAATTGAAGACTTCTTGTTCCGATTGGGATATTTAAAAGGACAATACGTGTGCTCGTGGGGCGATATTTTACGCGATTTTCATCGATTGTTAGACGGGGAGGCGCGAGAATGGTACTGGCTTTACATTCGATCTCACGGTA